ATCGCAGAGGACCGGGATTTTACGTAGGAACATTACCCCTGTAACACGCAAGAAAGGAAGAACTCTAAGCGTTGAGAACGAAGTTCTATTACACAACACGTAGTCTCTACAAAATGTAATAAACATGAGGTAAATTGGAACAAAGGAAGTTACAGTTAACCAATGTCGTTGTGTTCTTGTTCTCCTCCGGTGATTGAGCAGGAAAGACCCTCTGAAAAGCAAACGGGAGAGAGTGCCATTATGGCAACGACCCAACTTAGGACGCGCGCTAAAACAATATCGATTCTTCTCTACGCCACACCCCCTCTAATTAGGCAGCATCCCCGTTGCCACACCATGGCCGCCCTGTGCCGGCACCTCCAGTTCAACTGCTACCTCCCCAGGCGTTTCGTTCAGCCCCCCGACAGATTGGTCAGTCTTACTCCGGAATGGCTTAAGTCGATTGAAATGTACTATCATGGGTTGACTGGCAGGGTTGTTGGGATCTTTGATAACACATGTCACGTCCGATGTCATCTGCTGTATTGTGTACGGTCCTGTCCACTCATGGTGTAGCTTAACCGGAACTCCTGCCGTTGGTACCTGGTGCAAGTAAACTTGGTCGCCAGCCTTCAAAGGAGCGCCGAAAACTTTCTTGTCGTAATAGTCTTTCTGTCGTCGATGGGCGTTCCCAAGTGGAATACGTGCCGCTTGATGTGTTTGATGAAGCGAATCAAGGAGTTTGCTAACATACTCTGTCACCGATGAATGTGGTTGTTGCGGACTGGGTAATCGGATGTCAGACGGTAATCGGACTTCTCTTCCGGTTTCATAAATTATGGTGTTTGACCGGTCGAAGCGTGCACTGTGCTTCGATATGCCAGCAAGCATTTTGGTAACATAGCGTCCCACTCACTTACATTTTGCTCCACATAGGTCTTCAGTAGCGATTTCAGCGACCGGTTTGTACGCTCAACTTGTCCGTTGCAGTCGTTCGCGTCTTGTCTATACCGAACACACGATAAAGTTCCTGAACCAGAAAACTCTCGAAACATGAGCCCCTATCAGAATGTAGCTGCCCCGGTGCTCCCCAGTGACACACCCAGTGATTTGCCATCGCCGTTGCTACGGTGACTGTATCGGCTTGGGCGATCGGAACTGCTTTGCACCACTTGGTGAAATAGTCGACCATGACCAAGATGTACGGATGGCCACAAGATCTACTCCCACAATCTCGTTCGGGTAGCCTGCATTCATAGGCTGCAATGGTGCTCTCCGGTGATGGTCGGGTTCTTGAATGTGGCGCATGTCTCACACGTCTGGCAACAGTTAGTGACGTCTCTCCGTTGATGTGGCCACCAAAACCGTTGACGTGCTGCCGCTTCCAGTTTGTTGATTCCAACATGACCCAGCTGTTCTTGCAGTTTAGATAGCACTTCGGAAACTAATGATCGCGGAACTACGATTCTCCTGATATAATTTGGGCCAAAATCAAACGCAACACACCTTCCTTGATAGAGAGCTTGTTCCACATCGCCCATAAGCATCGAGCTTCGTAACTTTTTCCCTCCATCTCCTTCGCGGTAGGTTTGTCCCTCCCCAATAGCCGTTTGTCATAGATCGGTGATACGACTGGATCTGCTGCATGTGTCTCCTGCCAGCGACCGTACTCCGAACTTCGAAGGTTAACTAGAGCTACGTGTTGTGTACTAGAAGACGGGCAGTCTCCATTAGCACGAGTAGGAAGTCTGAAAAGAGCGTCCGCGTTTGCAGACTGACGAATTCGAGCCAGTTGACAGTTTCTCCAAAGAACGGGACAAAACACCTGGGGAAGTGGAAAGTCTAGTCGTGGGGTCAACGACAACAGAAGGGTTTCCGTCATCAGACTTCTCTTTCATTTTCGGTATGATCTTCATTAGACTAATGTTGGTTAATTCCTGATTCTTTTGACTCGGCAGGGTCGCCACTTTGTAACACGCAAGCAAGGAAGAACTCTAAGTGTTGAGAAAGAAGTTCTATTACACAACACGTAGTCTCTACAAAAAGGTAATAAACATGGGGTAAATTGAAACAAAGGAAGTTCCAGACTTCCTACTCGTGCTAATGGAGACTGCCCGTCTTCTAGTACACAACACGTAGCTCTAGTTAACCTTCGAAGTTCGGAGTACGGTCGCTGGCAGGAGACACATGCAGCAGATCCAGTCGTATCACCGATCTATGACAAACGGCTATTGGGGAGGGACAAACCTACCGCGAAGGAGATGGAGGGAAAAAGTTACGAAGCTCGATGCTTATGGGCGATGTGGGACAAGCTCTCTATCAAGGAAGGTGTGTTGCGTTTGATTTTTGCCCAAATTATATCAGGAGAATCGTAGTTCCGCGATCATTAGTTTCCGAAGTGCTATCTAAACTGCAAGAACAGCTGGGTCATGTTGGAATCAACAAACTGGAAGCGGCAGCACGTCAACGGTTTTGGTGGCCACATCAACGGAGAGACGTCACTAACTTTTGCCAGACGTGTGAGACATGCGCCACATTCAAGAACCCGACCATCACCGGAGAGCACCATTGCAGCCTATGAATGCAGGCTACCCGAACGAGATTGTGGGAGTAGATCTTGTTGGTCCACTACCAGAAACATCACGTGGCCATCCGTACATCTTGGTCATGGTCGACTATTTCACCAAGTGGTGCGAAGCAGTTCCGATCGCCCAAGCCGATACAGTCACCGTAGCAACGGCGATGGTAAATCACTGGGTGTGTCACTGGGGAGCACCGGGGCAGCTACATTCTGATAGGGGCTCATGTTTCGAGAGTTTTCTGGTTCAGGAACTTTGTCGTGTGTTCGGTATAGACAAGACGCGAACGACTGCAACGGACAAGTTGAGCGTACAAACCGGTCGCTGAAATCGCTACTGAAGACCTATGTGGAGCAAAATGTAAGTGAGTGGGACGCTATGTTACCAAAATGCTTGCTGGCATATCGAAGCACAGTGCACGCTTCGACCGGTCAAACACCATAATTTATGTAGACCGGAAGAGAAGTCCGATTACCGTCTGCCATCCGATTACCCAGTCCGCAACAACCACATTCATCGGTGACAGAGTATGTTAGCAAACTCCTTGATTCGCTTCATCAAACACATCAAGCGGCACGTATTCAACTTGGGAACGCCCATCGACGACAGAAAGACTATTACGACAAGAAAGTTTTCGGCGCTCCTTTGAAGGCTGGCGACCAAGTTTACTTGCACCAGATACCAACGGCAGGAGTTCCGGTTAAGCTACACCATGAGTGGACAGGACCGTACATAATACAGCGGGTGACATCGGACGTGACATGTGTTATCAAAGATCCCAACAACCCTGCCAGTCAACCCATGATAGTACATTTCAATCGACTTAAGCCATTCCGGAGTAAGACTGACCAATCTGTCGGGGGGCTGAACGAAACGCCTGGGGAGGTAGCAGTTGAACTGGAGGTGCCGGCACAGGGCGGCCATGGTGTGGCAACGGGGATGCTGCCTAATTAGAGGGGGTGTGGCGTAGAAAAGAATCTATATTGTTTTAGCGCGCGTCCTAAGTTGAGTCGTTGCCATAATGGCACTCTCTCCCGTTTGCTTTTCAGAGGGTCTTTCCTGCTCAATCACCGGAGGAGAACAAGAACACAACGACATTGGTTAACTGTAACTTCCTTTGTTCCAATTTACCTCATGTTTATTACCCTTTGTAGAGACTACGTGTTGTGTAATAGATCTTCGTTCTCAACGCTTAGAGTTCTTCCTTTCTTGCGTGTTACAGGGGTAATGTTCCTACCTATAATCCCGGTCCTCTGCGATATGTGCCTAAAACAACAGGACAGGTGAACCGGCTGTATATGATAAGGTAGCTTTTGTGCTATATATGCACAGACGGGAGGTACCCCAATAAGCCTGGGATGTGAAGCGGCCGTTGCTTAGATTACGATTTCAAAAGTAGGAAACCAGAGTGGTTGATCCGATGCGACGGTTACCGATACCAGTGTCATCCGTCTGGTTCAATACGCATGTGGCAAGGCACTAATGGTACACGTTAGTGATAAACGCACCAGTTCTTTTTTGATAGGGTATTTTTCCCAGTACGGTGTTTGTTAGTGTTCCAATTGGGACATCAGTCAGTTGAACTAAAGCTCCGCTGCTATACAATCTTTATGACCGACGAAAAGAAGGATAAAGGAGAGAGAAGGGAGACAAAGAGTAGAAAGTTAAGCAAAAATTTAGCGTAAAGGCGCTTACACCTTGCCAACAACACAACGTCACAAGCATTTGGCTATTATTTAAGGATAAGACAGCATCGGCAAGACAGCTTGCTTGAGGTTTTCATTGCCTCGCACAAGAAGTCACTTTCAAACTTTGGGTACAAATGCACACGCTCCGATTCGCATAATTGATTTTCAGCAACCGAAATCTTTCGTGAGCCATGTTAGCAAAACCAACCCCACCGTCCGCAAAACGAGCGGTATGTCCGCACCTACAGTTGAAGCACAGTTACAGTGCACGCACACTTGGGCTGCGCCACACCGATCGCCGTCCAAACACACGGATGTGGCTGAGTCAGACCTTTGTTACCCGAATGATGGAATCAGACTACGTCTGTCTGCCGGCCTGATGATGCCTAGCCGGCCAACCGCATCGCGGGTAAGTGGTCCACCGGTCGCGAGGTCAACCTATCATCCCGAGCGCAAACACAGCCCAGATCGACATGGACCAGAGCTCGCAGTGTTCCGTTGACCGGACAAAGCATCGCTCGCGCGCACCGATAAGTCGACAGCATTGCATTGGGGCCAATCGGAACAGAGTAGTTCATTTTACTGAGCCAATTGGAGCAGCGATAAACGGCTCAGATAGTGGACCATGAGCTAAGACGATTGGAAAGAGAGGCGCGCAGATCGATATACGGTCTAAAGCGGATTGAGGCATTGTGCGATTAACATAAATGGTGATGCTCAGCTTTGCACGACGTCTGCGTTACTCTGCTCCTCCATGGCTCCGAAGGTCGTCTCCGGTAAGGCCGCGAAGAAGGCGTCCAAGGTGAAGGTTGCGAAGGTAGACAAGAAGAAGAGGCGTAGGAGGAAGGAGAGCTACGCCATTTACATCTACAAAGTGCTTCGTCAGGTCCACCCCGATACTGGGATTTCGTCGAAGGCGATGTCCATAATGAACTCGTTCGTGAACGACATTTTCGAGCGCATCGCGGGCGAGTCTAGCCGCTTGGCTCACTACAACAAGCGGACGACGATCACCAGCAGAGAGGTGCAGACAGCCGTCCGCCTTCTACTTCCGGGCGAGCTGGCCAAGCACGCTGTCTCTGAAGGTACCAAGGCGGTGACGAAGTACACTAGCACCAAGTAGACTCGGTCGCCAGTGAAGTGGAGAACGCACCCACGGCCCTATTCAGGGCCACCACGAATTGATTGTCTTTGTGTACTTGTGTTGTTGCTGTCCATTAGTGCAGGAGTGCGTAGCTTGGCTCCAGATTTGCTTTTCACGCTCGTCGGTTAGTCAGTGCGTTTCAACGATGGCTGGGTGTGGAGGTAGTTGGGCTGGTTCCGCGCTCCGTGCTGACCGTTACCTGGGGACTTACCGCGTTTCCTCAAACTAGACGGTGGGGTCGTCGGGACGGAGGCGTAAAACTTCATTCGCTGTATCAGACTGTTCGAGCCCTGTTCAGTTAGCACTTGTAATGTACATCGTACTCGGTATGCAACTCAATGTCTAGTTCTGGGTACTTACAGCCTACTTTTGTTCAAATCGACGCCCAGGACTTTCGCTGCAGACTAGCAGATGCCGTTGCACCAGTCCGCCCAAGTAGCATCTACTTTGGATCTGGTTTTCGCCAAATCCCTCGGCTTGGTATTACGTTTAGGGTCCGGCGATCATGTATGCAGATTCTTTCGGTGTACGCTCAAGGCATCGATAGCCTGCCATTGAATTGCCTCTGGATATTTGTCGGTGGTGCAAAGGCTGTAGTTCTGACCTATGATATCTCCGTGTCTGACTCTGTCCAGTTAGCCTGGCATAGCTTACGGTTGATCCTGCTCCCTGTATTCCTCTTATGAGGAGAAAGGTGATACGGACACAGCCTCCATGAGTAGATTCCACAGGCAACTACCTGCTCGAGAAGCGGTTTAGCGAGCGTGCCGAGCGGGCTCGCTCGGCCGGCACCTACGAAATGAGTGTACGCAACGTTTAGTTCACTTGGCCGCAGCATAAGTTTTTTGCTTAAGTAAAGAGGTGCAGCGGTGCAAATCTATTAATACGAATAATGATGATAATAATACGATGTTTCTCGTGGTACCGAGAAACGGAGTCCACAAAGTGGCGTATCTGTCTATACCGGCGCTACTACGAGCAGTAGTGAGGCCTTCGCTCGTGAGAACCACAGGTTGAATTTGTTTCAGGAGTTCCGGCGGATTCTTGTTTATCAAAACCGAGACTCAGGTCTTCTGGCTATTGCAAGGTATAGGCTTTCGACCCTAATTTAATTCATCCGAAGCTGTTGCAAGCATTGGCCACTGAGTTAATTTGTCCTCATGTGCATGTTTGTAAGATTGCTTGACAATTGCGTCTTACCTTCGGATTGGGGGTAGCCATCATCTGTCCGATTTTTAGAAGCAGTAACCGTAGTCTGCCCATGAACTAACGGCCTGTGAATTAGACAGGTGTGGTGGTCAAGTTGTTTGCAAAACTAGTGGGAGTCAGTGGGGAACCAACTGAGTAGATGTAACCTTTTCAGTGCCACGCAACAGGGATTTCGCAAGAGATTTTCGTGTCAAGCTACTTGTCTCGTGAAAGCTGGGCCGAAGCGATAGCCAATAGCCACGCTATGGACGTGTTATTCGTAGACTTTTCCAAAGCCTTTGACACTGTCCCTCATCTTGAAACCTCACGGAACTTGGGGTCTTATGGCATACCTGGTAGTACCCTTAAATGGGTACCTTCTTTTCTAGTGGAGAGGGAACAGTGTGTACGCGTGGTGCGTAGCATTTCACTTAGGCAAGCTGTCCTTATTGACGTTACGCAGGGTTCGGTATTGGAGCCGTGTTGTTCCCCATCTATGTAGATGACTTGCCGGAGGAGTTTGTAATGTCGTCGCTAATGTTTGCCGACGACCTTAAGTTCTGTAATATCGTGGGGGTTCTGAGGCAATTTAGAATGCCTTGGATAGATTCTGGGAATAGTCTGCCTTAGGGTCGGACCAAGTGTTCTCTTCTCCGAATAGGAGCTGCTAGTCCTCCCACACGAAATGTTGGCGTATTTGGAATCTCTGTTGTCACAGCAGGTCGGTTTAGATGTCGTCCACTCACCAGCTGTTTACTCTGATGACAATTGTAAGAGGTGTGATGTGGTTTATTAGCCACTTCTTCGTAGTCTTAACGGCCAACATATTCTTGAAGTTGTTCTCGGCTTTTGTGGACCACATTGTCCACTATGTTTTAGCCGTGACAAAATTGACTTGGAGGTTTTACGGGTACATACTAGGTTAGTGTAGAGTCTACGGAGACAGACGTATCCTGTTTGTTTCGTTTGGTTGTGTGTTTGGTTTCGTTTGGGAATGTACTCAATACACTACCGGAGAAAACTTCAATTCAAGAAAGAGCTTTATGTACCCAGAAGGGTGAATATTCAGGTGTTATACATAAGCCTTTGGCATTGTACAAAGAATCCACAACTACGCGACTAAGTGGTATATACAGCAGTATGGTTCTAACGCAAACTTGCTTGTGAGCTCCGTACTGACTGAGGTCTGGTTGCACAAAAGCGCGCCAAACATGCAACTACGGATGAGTGGTAAGTCCTTGTACGGGTACAACTGGATCTGTACTTTTGTCGAGTTGAGGGAGTTAATATTCTTTCAGACAGTGCGTCATGAAGACGGTGACTTGCATCCGTGGTCATTTTTGAAGCAAGCCATTTGCATAAACCGGTATGAGTAGACGCAAGAATGTCGACAAAACTCGGCTTTGGAATGTCACTACCTTGAGACAGTTGCGCCAATGAGCTATCTATGATTTTGAAATGCTTCCTTACGAGACCGGGAAATGTCACAGGGAGCAATAGGGCCATTGGGGTAAGACACAAATGGTGATAAATCGCTGTAGGGTGTAGCGGAGTCGGATGTGGAACGCAAACGAGCGGCGTAGAAAGAAAGTCTCCTCATTTTGTGAAAACTTCATTCACATGGAGTGACCAAAAAAGCTCACGGCCGTATGATGCCTAGATACTTGATGGAGTGCCACTTCTCATTATCTGTGTGAAGTTCCGGGCAAACCATGCGAATTTCCTGATAACAACGGTCAGTGTGAGGGGAAAAAAGAACGTCATTGCATTTTAATTCATTTAACCATAAAAGTGAGCTCTGAACCACGATGCAAGGTCGTCCAGATAGGCTTGTTATTTGATTGATGAGGCTGCGATCGGATGTTGGATACCCACAACCACGTCGTCGGCATAGTTCAGCAATATCGCTTCATCAGGAGCAGGTAATGAAGTGACATAAGTAGAAAAATGTATGGAGACAATATGGATCCTTGAAGCACCTCGGCGGCTGTGGGTAGTAACCTACGATTTGAGCAAATTGGGCACGTCCAGTGAAATGTTTCCTCTGCAAGTGGATAGTAAATGGTTGAATTCCTGCATCCCATGTGTCTCAAAATGAGCTCACAGTTTTCACTACTGTAACGAGAAAACATTTGCTCACGATTTGATCCTCTTGTCTATTGGTGCCAGCACTGAATGTACACGTAAGGCTGATCCGTCTTCAGTCTACCTCAATCTATGATAAGCAAACTGGGGCGGGTCAGCTGAATGAGCTTGAGGCACTCATTTTTCATGAATAATCTCTTCGAAGACCTTCAGTTTTACTGAGGTGCAGACAATTGGTCGGAACGTGCGTCGACGCACCTAACCTCCTCATTCTACTCTATCTTACGAGATAGTTCTCAGTTGCCGTTCTAGAATTCTTAGACCCCAACGAGCTGTCTACTTCTTGCAAATGACTGCTAGCGGAATAAAAATGAATGCCTCCTCGACTTGAAAAATAGCAGGAAACCGCAACCAAACAAGTTGTTAATCCGTCCAGGATCCTGCCTGATACGCTCAATCCACTAAAAAACAGTGAATTTTGCACTAACTACGATCAAATTTTATCATTCTGTGAACTAATCAATGAGCTAAGGTGAATTTGGACAGCTGGCTGGTTTATTCTTATCACTCATCATCTCTGAGGCCCAGATCAAAACATGTGATTATATTCAATATATCTTATCGACTTAGTATCGAAAAAATTAAAACCGCCCTCCTCACTGCCTGTAACTTAGATCGGTTTAACTGCGTTTGGATAGGACTTCGAAAAAACGCACAAACGAAGTCGTGTCCGGTTCTATTGAAGTTCCTCGATGAATCAACTGCTACTACTTTTCTGTGATTCACACGGCTGATTACTACCGGAACCGAATTCAAAAACGCTATAGTCAGGAAAGACCAAACACCGCTAGAAAGACGCCTAGCTATTAAAAAAGCCTCCAACTGTGTTAACTCACAATCCACCAAGCCACCGAATGGACAGTGAAGTAGACCTTGACAGAACACCGTTAGTATCCCTGAGAGATCCTCCACGTACTAAAACCTTTACCCTTGCGGCTCATACACTGAACAGCACTACATCTACTAAATCGCTGAATAAAAGTAAACAGCCCTAGGAACTAAATCTCACCAAGATAACAGCCGAAACCAACCCTATCTCGGCCGCTGCATCTACAAGTAACGTGCACATGAAAGGTGGTGTGTACTACACCTGTATCCCCTACAGTGCAGAACCATAGAGCGAAATTCTCAAGGCTGTGAGAAATAAGGAAACATCCCACAGTCAAATTAAAATTAAATTCACCACCTCCAATCAGCGATATCACTATAAATCATGGAATGACTCTGCATTAACACAATATGATAACGCCCAACGCCGAACGTCACCGCCACAACATACTCTAGAACGTCAGTATGACTCGCTAAATCAATCCCGGGGAAGTAAACGATATCGTGAATCGACTAGTGGCACTAAATCTGGCTGTAGGATCAATGGTATAAACTCGGCGGAACACCCTCACATCCCACAGTTGTCTCCAAACCCAAATGGGCATCACAGTAACACAAGTGGGACTGCAGCCAGTGACCGAAATTTGGAAATTCCTAGGGCATTGCCTATTCCGCACAATAGCATCCCACAGCTACTCCCACAACAACTAGTCTATGCTCCGCCGCCATTCCTTCCCATGGAAATGCTTTAAAGTCCTTTTTTAAGGCACCATATCCCCCGACATTTCCCCACCACTGGAATTTCCATCACTAGGCCC